TGCATCAGGTATGGCTATTTGTGGCACTGCCGTGGCAAGGCTGGAAGCGGCCCAGCTTCACCTGGGCCTATGCGTGACGCGCTTCTTGGTCGCTCGCTGATCGCTCGGACAGCTTCGGGCTCTCCAGGGTGGGTAACGAGCCCTCAGCTTTACTTTAGGGTTGATGATGATGATGATGATGATGATGATGATGATGATGATGATGATGATGTAGATGTAACATTCAACGCACAGGTAGCCTAAGCCGCGCGTTGCAAGATGAAAGCAAAGATCACGGACATGTGCATTTTCTCCCACAAACCCAGTGCTTTTTGATCTTCGGGGACGTCGTCGACGTAGGCGTGGACAAACTAGGGGGTTTGCCTGTATTAATGTACTTTAAATTACTTTAATTGTATTTCTGTAGGAGATGAGGGTCGTATTCCTTCAATCTATTCACTAAAGTCTCTAAAGTCGCCTTCCTTCCCATTCAATTTCAAACGAATACGACGACTGTCCGAGCCACGCAAATTCAACCACCATGCCACAATGGCGCCAGCGGCAAGACCAAACCTTCAGCTTCCGCTGGCAGCTGGGAGGTAAGGAAATTCATCTACGAATGATGTGCGGGACGCACATAGCTGACAAGAGCGATCCCATCATATCCCATCCTAAACATTCCTAACTGCGTTGAAGCATGTTGAAGCCTCACACGACCTTCCTTACCTGAAGCATCCTGAAGCGAAACTCATGAGGAACTCATGGGGCTAGGCTGGGGAAATCCCATTGCATTGGCAGCGTTGTGGAAGTGGCCGGCTTGCAGCTAAGATGCATCACTGTACAAAGGCAACCCAGTGTTAGGGGCCAGATTGCCAGCAGGTCGTGCAGGGTGACAAGTGGTGGAACCTGCGCGACAAAGCTGCTCCCCATCCATCTCTGGTCGCATGTGAATTGTAAATTACAGAGCATGGTTGGAACATATTGACACATGTCGGAACAAGTTTCAGTTTGGCTGGAGATGTTTGAGCAAGTTGGCCTCAGCCTTTTGATGCTTTTTTTCAATGTTTTTTCATCTTTTTCCTTCGGATCCTTTGGCTTGGGAACCTGGCACACAGTGGCACCCTCGTTTCTACATGTTTCTACAGTCTCACGCCGCCTTGCCCAGAATCAAGCACGGCAAACACACTGAAGAAACGAGCCTCAGAGCACTTGACGAGTGATGAAGGCTTAAACAGCTTAGACTGGCTTGGACGAATTCTGAATGTTGATCTTTCATGAAGAATGCTGAAATTCAGGAGAGCTTGAAAACCACTTCAAAGCAAAAGGTGTATACTACTGAGTCACTACTGTATACTTTATATAGCTGATATAAGCTGCATAGAGTCCTTCAGGATGCATTTCAGCATTTGCTTGTTCTGAACTGAGGTGAGGTGGGTTCAAACTGCTGCGGCTGCTTGAATCCCCTCAGGACAACCAGCCCATTGGCCTAACGGCTGCCAAGAAGCTTGTCCAAAAATTTCTCAGCAGAGTCATCTAAAATGCCTGGCGCGGGAAACTGGGTTAGACTTAGCCAATTGGCCGGGTTTGTTTATGGTTGGGAACAATGAACAATACAAGGAGTTTCTGACTAAAGGGTTGAGACCATGTCCAGCAACACAGCGTCGTTAGATAGACAGCAACATGCAGCACAAGTTAAATCCTCATTGCCACCAAGCAAACATGTCATGATCTAGCCTTCCCCCCTCTCCACCGCCACACCTTGACGGCGAGCGTAAACACCCACAGCTGCACAGCATGACACAGTAGCCACCGATCGCAGTGAACAAATGGTCAGCGATCCCAGAGTGTCCATGCCAGGCCGAAGGGCATGCACAAAAACGCCAAACACATATTCAAATAGGATTTCCAACATATTCCGTATACCGTATACAGCCATTCATATACCTTTTCATTTCAATGTATTTCAACTCTGATTTACTTGTTTTCATCTACTGTATATTCACGCTCAAATGCTTGCTCATGGGTCCAACACCTGGAATGCCCAGTTTCAAGAACTCTGCTACCGGCACGCCTTTCATTAGCGTCACTGTCCCAGTCCAGTTGCTTCACTATCTCATTATACTAAGTAAATCTACAGTAAGTGGATGATATATTCTCCTATGATCTTATATTTTAATATCTTTTATATGATATTTTATGCAGAATACATGTACCCATGGATCGTGAGCACTGTGTATCTCAATAGTCTGTAGTTTCCCAACACCTTTTCCAGATGAAAGGGCAGTTCGAACCAAAAGCAAGCTGCAGTATAAAAGTCCATTGGATCCGGGAGTTTAGATTGGTAAGGAGAGGCATTGAGAACAGGATAGTTTTCCTCGTTCAAAAATAAGCTGGGAATCTTATCTTGTTGTGCATAAATATGATGTTGGGCATCAGACTTTGCATCTCCCTCTCTCTCCCTCTCTCTCTAACCTCTGAAAGGCGTATAAAGGCCTTCAAACTATCAAACCTGCACTTCGGCTGGAAACCGCATTCCCCCCTTCCAGTGCCTAGGAACTGGATCCTGCAATGACTGCAAGATACTGCAATGTTCTGTTCCATCCATCTTGCGTCAGAAAGGCGAGTCACCGATTCTGACTCATCTTTGGAGGCAGGCGAAGGGGGTGCAGCTGCAGTCATGTCACATGAGTCGCATGAGATTTCATCAAGAGATGCCCTTCACAAATAGTGACCTCAAGGCTGCGCCTCGCCGTCCTCTGCCTCACCCTCTTCAGGCAAGGGCTCAAGACCAAGCCTCGTATTGGCCATATTCAAAAAATGTCAAAAGCATGAAAAAGCCAAGAACGCCCACAAGTGTCAGAGCATGTGTGGGGCGTGGAGCAACCTGGACTCTTGTTTCCCTTCGATTTTGCGAATCTCAGTCGTCCATGCACCCTCAAAGGGAAATGCCCCTTCCTCTAGCTCTACCAATGTCTTACTTGCTTGGGAAATCTTAGGAAGCTGCCTATGGTCAAGAACTCACTGACAGAAGCAGCCCAGTCTTTTTTTGCTACAAGAGTGATCTTGGACTGAAGCCATGGCCCTTGCAATGGCATTTTGCAGGCTGTTACATGCTGGCACTTCAGCCCGTGCAAGACTTGTGGCAAACATTGGATAACATTGGCAGTGTTCCATCCGAGCAAGTGGAGTCGGGTAACAAACACTTTGGACATCTTTGGACTATTGTCCGGCCTTGGAGGAAAATTGCAAGCAAAAAAAGGCCAGCACTTTGCCTGTGTTTGGCTGTAACTTGGAACATGCCAAGTAGTGAAGTGCATTCAAACACAGGCCACACTTTGGATATTGCTTCTGCGGCCTTGGAAAATATAAAGCAAAAACAAACGCCAGCAGCCAGGTCGTATGTGAAATTCTTGAAAGCCAGCGGGTGGCGGCAAAACATGCAAAAGCAAGAGCCACTCAAGGCCAGTGTTTATGAAATTGTTCTGCAGGCAGGGATTGCGACACTGAGTATCATCCTCCTCTTTGGTCTCTTGAATTGAAGCCAGTAATGTCCCAGTGGTCGTGTGGTGTCTGACACTTGATACTGTGATGCTGACGACTTGCCCTTCTGCTGATGAACGCTCTTCTTCAGAGTATGGCTTTGCGAGTTCAACATGCCAATACTACTACTTGCGCCACTTCCCATTGCTGAGGCGTTCAACCTAAAATCCATAGGTTCAGTTCTCCTGCTACAAAACTGAGCCAAATAGTCCAGAAACCCGATCTGCAGTGATCTTAAACTACCCCCAGCATTCCCCAGCACTGCATGACGTCTGCAGTTTACCGTCACTCCAGGTGCAAGGAGCTAAGGCACCGACTTCGCTCGACGCCTCTCAGAGTTCAGAGGCAATAACAGCAAATGATCATTAGGAAGTTGTCATAAATTTTCGAAGCTATCCAGGCGTCAGCTACTTAGGAAATATACTCGCTCAGATCACCAAGGTTAGGAAGCTAAGATTTCATAAGCTTTTGCTGTACCCTCCTAGTAACTTAGCAGGTCACCAGCCTTGGCCGCATCTCATTCGTGTCGTCCTTGTCAATCTTTTCATCTTTCTTTTCCAATATTTCGTCCAGGTGCGCAGCGCCCTGTCGCAAAGAGGCCATGTTTTGGCGCAAGTTGATCGACACACAATTTCATATCATAATGCAACAGTAATGTAACAAGGACAATTGTACAAGAGATCAGATATGACAAGAACTGACAAAATATGTCTGATTTTTGGGGTCACTCTGCCCATGTTGTCCAACTGTGCTGGCCGCAAGTGAAGACGCCATGATCACATTTTGATACATTTTGTACACTTTCCGAGTCAACCACAAGACCACTAGCGCTGGGCTACAGCATCCGATCCATCAGCCATGCTGTGCAGTGGGCCCTGCCAGTTCCCCAGGAGCTCAACTCTCTGCCTTCTCTGCTACTCCATCACGATTCCGACGCCTCAGCCAAACCAGGATAACCTTGGGGAGAACATGGGGGGAACATGGGGCAGAAGTACTTCAGTTTGCTTCAGGGACGCACAAAGCCACTGAGCACAGCTGAAAAGGTTATATGACATGTAGACTTGACAAACCAGCAGAGCAGGAAGTGACTGGACGCAGATTATGTGCGGAATTGGACTAGTGAGCCATTGCGCTCCCCACTTTAGGGAATGACATGGAATGACGATTCACCTGACACATCCTGACACCTAAGAGGCGATTGTCTTCTTTCAGAGTTCCTGTGCAATGAATTAAGATGAATTGAGTGTATAGTATGTTGTAGTTTGTCGCAATCGCTTCACAAAACTGGCTTTGGTTCACTGCTACCGTTTCTGAAGCGGACCAGATCAAGTCCACAGCGTCAAGAATGGAGAGCTAGGGTCTGAGCTGCCCTGACTTCCCTGTCAAATCTGGGGCCTGAAATGAGTTGCAAAGCAGCATCAGCATCATGGCACACGGTGGAACATCATTGAACGTCATGAGATGTAACGGGAATATATTATAATATATTGGGATAATCTCAATATATCTCAATGGTCCATACCCACTCCCACATTGGAGGTTCATGGAGGTTCAGGTTTCATCTGTTTCCTTGCCAGCATGTAACGCAGCATGTAGCTTGGCATCACAGCCCAGCCCTTTTTCTGCTTGCTGAATTTCACTCTTTGGTGACTTGGCAAAGCTCCACAGGGCACAAGGCTGAGACAGGCAATCAACCTCCAACGCGCATTGCAAGATGGAAGACATCGCAAGATATCGCTAGAATGACGATCATATATGATACTCTCAGAGTCAGAGCATATCATCCTCATCCAGGATCCATATTGTATATCGTTTTTATTATACACACAGTGTCCCCGCGTATGTATATGGATATATATTATATTTATTCACATGGATCATGTATGTATATGTTATATGATTGATTATGATTTATTCTGATTGTAGATCTCAAATTTAATTTTCATGCCTCACAGACCCGATGAAAATCATCATTCTGAGACAAGTGCTGTGCTCCCCACCTCTTCACTGTAGCCTGGCAGGTCGCATCCCAAAGCCTCTGCCGCCAGTTGAGGCTCCGGGTGACCTCGGAAGTCGATGCATTCGCAAAAGCCCTGACCAACCCGTACATACCACATGAATATTAACAATATTATACAGTGATTATACAGTATACAGATGTATACAGTATTATTATGCATATGCTGTTCAGAAGTTCAAACATGTTCAAACAATATAAATCCATATAATATCATATGCAGTATCATTATCATATCGCATTATGCAAAACAAATAAACATACCAGTACTGCATGTACCATCTGTCACGTACAGTAGGCACCAGGGAGATTCCAACGCCAAATGAATACCAGTGAACAGCGACAAACACGGAAAATTTGCACAAGAAGCAAGTAAAAGAATCAATTAAATTTGTTCGGTCATCAAACACCAAAGTCCAAGGTCTTCTGAGTGCGCCACAGTTCTCCCCAATCAAAAATATACAGCCAGCTAGCGAGAAATGCTCTGCGTATCGCTGCAGTTGTGACGGCTTTAGCCTCATGCCCGCAGCATCCCACAAGCATCACAGTTACCAGTAGTTACCCAGCCATACACAGCCCTTCTTCAAACTGCCACTGCCTCGTGGCACAGTTGTCATCGCAAGTTGCTGGTTCCAAGCCCTGAGACACAGCTGAGCCACTGGGGCCAGCAGCACAGCAGTACAGCACTGCCACAGTCTCTATCATCAAACACCTCAATCAATGCAAATTGGCCGCCAATCTTCTGAGCAGAAGCAGCAACTCATTGCAAGTCATAGCAAGTCATAGCAAGTAACAAGAGAAACGAGAAGAGATTTCAAATATTTGCAAATGACGTATCACACGTTATCACACTGTAAAATACATCCCGTTTCTTAGCATGCAAAGTTTGCCAAGTTACATCATCTGGGTTGACCTCACCATTGGACCATCACTCCAGCAAACAGCATGGAATGGCGAGGCTGTGAGGCTTAATTACATAGCGGTGTGGTGCAAATGAATGCGAATTATGGGTCTGGTGAACATCCATAGCAACAACCACGTTAAATCCGGCTCTGTTTTTCATTTTTTTCTGGATCTAACGGGAATCTGCCAAAATTTGCTGCAAGTGACAAAGGTCAGCCACGGCTCATGGAGCTTCCGCACGGCATCGTGTAGCTGCGGAATGACCCATGGATTCACGTCGCCTGTACATTGCGATATATTGCGATGGAGGTTGACGAGGTTGACTTGACTTGTTTTGGAGGTGCTATGTGAGGTGCTATTTCGTGCTATTTCTATCTATTTCTGGGGTATCCACTCTGTAGATCTCTATAGCAGGTTGGATCAGGCCCTGACTTTAGGCCTGGTGGCCAAGTCCTAAGGGCTGGCAGGGAAGAGGTTCAGGCAAGTAATTGTATACGGATACGATTATATTATGTAAACAGAGCTATGCGCATCTAGAACCGAATCGCACAGACCCAGCCACAAAAAGTCCAACAACAAAACCTTCAGGAAACCCAATGGAAACCTTGACAAAAAAAAAAAACGCGAGAAACTCACAGAAACGCGCACAAAACCTAAGGAAACCGGTAGAAAACCGTGCACCCCCGCAGAAACCCAAGCAAACTCGTAGGAAACTTCATGGACGCCTTATTGGAACATATTGGAACCGCAACGGTTCACCCTTTGGCATCCTTTTCAGGAGGATGGGTTCAGGGCACCCGATGTCTCATAGGCTGCGCTGCCAAATTCAATAATTCAGGCCGAATTTTGGAGACGCTGCGGGCCGTCAATGTGTGCGAGAGAGGCCTTGACCTCCGTGCGCATTTCTGCTACTAGTTGCATCCGCTTTCTACAAAAAGGTAACAAAAAGGTCAGATACTTCTTCCATCTTCTTCCTACCATCCCACGTCCTGGAGATGTGAAACGCTCAAAGGAAATCAGTGGAATAGAGTGTGCTGCCACACTGTTGCCCAAAGAGCTTGCCGTGGAATGGCCTGAATCTGAAACCGTGTAAAAGTAGTCGACGCAAATGACCTCACGTACTCACATATACTCACATCCCTCTCATAGGAAGGTGACGTCTCACTATTTGTCACTTTCCTTACCTCAGAACAGTCTGAACAAGAACATTGACAATTCATGATAATTCTATTGCAGGCAAAGATGCTTTGAACCTTGGTGATAACAACCATTCCAGCAATCCGGCGCCGCCTGAGTATGTTGCCACATGGACATGTGACATGTTACAGTCTTCCCAAAGGCAAGTGCACGAGACGACACCCCATATTGGTTGTTGACTAGGCACATCCCTTACTAGGAGCCCTACAGGCATTTTAAAACACCCTTGTGAATATGTCATACTTCTGAATCCTCTGCAAGATGTTGAACCCTCTCCTTTTCACACGTTCATATTGGCCCTCGGTTTCATACCATTTCATACCCAAAGTGTAGGGGAAACAAAAATCAGTGAGAGTGAGCGGCTCATGGCCCGCCATCTGTGCTAACAGGCACTCAGTGATGCCCAGCTGCTGCCGATGCTCAGCACCACATCAGCACCAAAGCTTGCAACACAGCGACCAATCAAACCCATAGCACCTTTGCTTCAGGTTGATGGACAAATGGTTAACAGATGTTAACAGGCACTTCACATACACCATCCAAATTTTGCACATGCAGACAGCGTACGCCTACCTTGGTCCAAAGAGAACTGGAGGCTCTCACGATACATCGTAAACTGCCGATGATATTTGTCCTGACCCTGACAGATTTGGAAGCCCGTTCCCAAGTTGCTGAGGCATGCTGAGGCATGCTAAGGTGCTGCCTCGGCGCCAATCTTTGGAATAAAGCAGCAATTTTGTAGCACCTCAAATTCAAACAGGAGATTCAGAATGGACCCGATCACCACCAACAGTTCTCGAATGCGGCCAAGTAGCTCCTGGTTTGGGCGAAATAAATTCATAAGCCCAGCAGTGTGAAGGCAAGCGGGCGCAAAGGTCATAATAGTCTCCCTGCCTCGCTACGGCCGCTATATCATGCTGCCCAGCTGGTTGCAGTCGACAGTCGATCATGTCTGTCGGCTGAGGCAGTGACGATAGATTTGGGTCTGTCATAGCTGCAGTGAGGGCGATTTCGATCTCTGCCTGGGACTCGAATTTCGCTTGTGACACGGCAAACAAATAGCGCTAGAAGACAAGATCTATGGGGGGATATTCACCTTCAAGAGCGATGGTGATGCCGTGAAACAGCAGTGGCTGCTGCAGCTGCAAAACATCCGGTTGGAAGTAATTCATATATATATACATAAACATAAACATAATATTATATTAAATAAAAGTATATTATAATTATATTATATTATAGAAATAAATGTATATCTCTCTCTCTCTCTTTCATAGTATTTCATGACTTTCAATCAAAGGACTCAGAGCTTCCTGACACAAAGCAATGCCACTTAAGAGCAATGGAGCTCCAAATCAAAGTGAATGTGGCGTCGGCCTGAAGGTCATCTTCGGCGTTCATAGCCTCCAACCCACCACCGCCATGGCACAAGGAAGGCGCCCCTTGTGTGAAATCTCGAAGCTGCAA